TAACAAACACAGTGTTCGCATTGTAATCGTAACTTTGTTATCAATTCCATTTGGAGCAGAACGATTAAACGCGCTGAAACGCGCCTCGGCCGTTTTCAGTCGATATTTCAAAGTTTAATCCATCGTAATGACTCCGTATTTATATACATATTCCACATCCTGCTGGGTCGTTGCCAAATTTCAAACTTATAATTAGTTTTCGCGCCGTGACGCGACCCCGGACTATGCATTATTTATAGATGGTCGTTTTATGGGTTTCTCCATAAACCACGTAACACTAAAAACTTGACGCGATAATATTTCGTTTGAATAAAAATATTGCACAGAATTGGCAACGTTGTAACAGAAGTTGTGTGTAGCTCCGGGAAATGCGCATAAACGGAACGTCGCAAAAATGCAATGAATAGAACCGACCGACGACGCCTATCGGCCATATTCCGGAAACTAAACTTCGAAGCCGCGAGCTTCGAAACAATTGAAATTGATTATCGTTTGTTCTTCACAACGAAACAAACGTCGACTGTTTAAAATAATTGCCGGGCGCGTGGTTCCGCGTAAAACGAAAAGAAGTAAAAAGAAACTAGTATCAATGATAGAAATTCATATCTAAAGCGTCGTATCCGATTCCTCGTCACGGTTCGTGCAAAAAGGTGACACCGTGTAATTACGACGCACCGAGACGTAAAACGCCACGGGCGATGAGCTCGTGGTTTCCTCCGGTCACAGGTGGCGCCGCGATCGCGACCTTGTTTTATAGGCGCCAGATTCCGTTCCATACTATTATAACATTTTTTTCTATTCTCTATACGTAGTTTTTTTTGATTATATCATTATCTTATAATGAGATATTGGTATATTAAAAACTACCGTAAAGTAGATTATTAAGTTTTTCTATAATTGGCTTATGTATAGATGGTACTAAGATGTTATGAAAAGATGATTCAATTTCACCTGTACTAGCTTTCAAGACTTAGGAGGTCTTTGACACCCATTTGCTGTATGTGGTATCTTCATCATCTCCTAACACCTCATAACAAGAGGAATCTTAAGACTAATTCCAACAATTTGATTCATACGAATTGTCAGAAAGAACAACGAGATATTTAAGAAATGGGTGGCATTATATCACATAAACTTGAATCCTCAAGTAGTATGGCCGCATGGCTATCCTTAAAAAGAACTACGCCTGAGGTAGCTCCAACAGTAATTGACACGAGATGAGTCGTGAACACGATGTGCAACCTGTCTATTAATAGTAAAGTTTTACCTAAAGTTAAGTCAACCTAAACTATGATATAGCAATCTGTGATAGTAATGGGGGCAATAGTAAGATACTTACAATCTGTGATGATCCAGTTCTGGGGTTCCGCATGATCCTCGGGAGTGGATCTGAAACAAGAATTAAAGCAATTAGATGATAAGCGACTGCGTTAGTTATATAATCGCATTGTGTAAAAGGAGGCTCCTAATGTTCTGTGCAAGGGTGAACCAGCTTCTGCATAGAATGGGACCAATAAAGACCTGAAAAGTAACTTAAGGTACTTAAACTCAGGGTGTTACGAAGAGTTTGAAGAATGATGAGTTTGTTTCTGACTCGTCGTTGCAAAATCGACAAGTTTGATCCTTAGCTTGTTTAATATGGATCATACTTTTGGTTCCATTTCCGGACACCCTGTATATTTGACTAATTTTGCTACAATAGAAGATGGCATTTAGAGCTGTATTAAATCGTTTTTTACATTTCAGGACTTTAAAAAAATAAATCTTGTTCCTCTTAATCGCATTAAGATAATTAAGTTATTTCTCAAATTACTTATGTCAAAATGACATTAAATTGACATAGTTATTTTTTCGTACCACCCTTGAAAATTGAAAATTTTTTGTGTGATTTCCCGTCGATTAAAAAAAAAGTTGTCGATTTTTGATGCTTAATGTTTAAGTGAGACCACCCACACAGATATTTAATTAACTGATAAACTGATACCAGTTACGATTGGAACGCGTTATTCTGAATATGCGGCATACTCGATCGACACTTTTATATTACGGAGCCAATTAGCACCCGGTCAACTATGGGAATGTTGAAATAGATCACGGAATGTAAGCGGTGGCATTTCCGTTCGTATCGACTAAAATGTCAAGTATGCGTTTGGTAAGAGTCCATAAACGTGAAAAATTAATTAAACACACTCCCACGCTTATTAATATACATTTATGTAAAGGAAAAAATCAAAACTAAGTGTACTAAATAAATAGGGTAGGAACATTGATGATTTGATCCGGCCTTGGTCCAATGTTGTAGAGAGACAAGGTTCAAGAAACCTAAATTACATAATCAATAGGGCTAACGAACACGAGTCTCGACTGGCCACACATACGAAAGCGGTTGTTTTTCGCGAAAACCCCCATCCAGTTATTTTTAGTCATGTTTGTGGTTTGTGGTTGTGTTCGCAAAGGGGCAATAGCAAATTAACCACGTATTGTTCTTCACATTATTTTTAATTTTCTTATCTTGACCAATGTATCAATTAAAAACAATTTACTAATCGTTTTATCGAAATACGAATTTCTTAAGTACTCAAAATTTTTGTAAATTCACACAATAAGTGTATTATGTAATGAAAATAGAATATAGTATCTAAAATCGTGTACTTTAATAACGGTTTAAATTGAAATGATCTTAATAGGAATCAAAAATGCTTTAATTTGATACCAAACATGATATATTTGGCTTAAAAAATAAAAAGTTGGGTTAGAAAATGTCAAATGTCAAAATTAAATATAACGATTTTTTGATAAATATTGAAATGATCTTAATAGGAATCAAAAATGCTTTAATTTGATACCAAACATGATATATTTGGCTTAAAAAATAAAAAGTTGGGTTAGAAAATGTCAAATGTCAAAATTAAATATAACGATTTTTTGATAAATATTGAAATGATCTTAATAGGAATCAAAAATGCTTTCATTTGATACCAAACATGATATATTTGGGTTAAAAAATGAAATAGTTAGGTTATAAACTGTCAAATGTCAAATAATCGCCATTTTTTTTTTTGCTAAAAATTAAGATATCTCGATAACTGTTGGAGATAAATAGGTCGAGTTTGGGTTCATTTTAAAGGATATTTAATTTTTTATCCATTAATGTTAAAAAAAGAAAAGCTTTATAACTAAAAAATTGTTGAGTTACAACTAGAACTAACACTAAACCTAGAACTAGAATCATTCGGGTTTAGTCGTTTAACGAGACGTACGGCTAAACCCGAATGTTTCTAGTTCTTGGTCTAGTGTTAGTTGTAGTTTCATATCATTAGAACTAGCACTAGAACTAGAACCATTCGGCTTTATCCGTCTTAATAGATACACGCTGAGGCAGCCATGCTGCCGAGGCAGTGGTTCTAGTAGTTAAACTAAGTAAAGTTTTCTTTAATTTTAGAACTATTACAAATCTTAGAAGAATTTTATAAATTATTGCTCATAACAAAATGCTTGAGATTGTTATTAAATGCTTGAAGTTCAAACTTTATAATCTTAAACAGCCGACTATTTTACACAGTTAGTGAGTTGGCTTGAAGGAATCTTGATAAGATTCAAAAATGCTTTAATTTGATACCAAACATGATATATTTGGGTTAGAAAATAAAAAAGTTAAGTTAGAAACTGTCAACTGTCCAAATTAAATATAACGATTTTTTGATAAAAGTTGAAATGATCTTAATATGAATCAAAAATGCTTTAATTTGATGCCAAACATGATATATTTGGGTTAAAAAATAAAAAGTTGGGTTAGAAATTGTCAAATGTCAAAATTAAATATAACGATGTTTTGATAAAATTGAAATGATCTTAATAGGAATCAAAAATACTTTAATTTGATACCAAACATAATATATTTAGGTGAAAAAATAAAAAGTTAGGTTAGAAACTGTCAAATGTCAAAATTAAATAACGATTTTTTGATAAATATTGAAATGATCTTAATAAGAATCAAAAATGCTTTAATTTGATACCAAACATGATATATTTGGGTTAAAAAATAAAAAAGTTAGGTTACAAATTGTCAAATGTCAAAATTAAATACAACGATTTTTTGATAAATATTGAAATAATATTAATAGGAATCAAAAATGCTTTAATTTGATATCAAACTTGATATATTTGGGTTAAAAAATAAAATAGTTAGGTAAAAAAGTGTCAAATGTCAAAATTAAATATAACGATTTTTTAATAAAAATTGAAATGATCTTAATATAACTCAAAAATGCTTTAATTTGATACCAAACATGATATATTTGGGTTAAAAAATAAAAAAGTTAGGTTAGAAACTGTCAAATGTCAAAATTAAATAACGATTTTTTGATAAATATTGAAATGATCTTAATAAGAATCAAAAATGCTTTAATTTGATACCAAACATGATATATTTGGGTTAAAAAATAAAAAAGTTAGGTTAGAAACTGTCAAATGTCAAATAATCGCCATTTTTTTTGCTAAAAATTAAGATATCTCGATAACTGTTGGAGATAAATAGGTCGAGTTTGGGTTCATTTTAAAGAATATTTAATTTTCTATCTACTAATGTTAAAAAAAGAACAGCTTTATAACTAAAAAATTTTAGCCGTGCGTCTGAAATTACTCAAAATCTTTGTAAATTTATTGTGTGAATTATGTAATGAAATGGGAGTAAATCGCAACTTTATCTAATTAAAGTATGCTAAAATATAGTATCTAAAATTATGTTCTAAACCAGTAACAAACTTTAATAACGGTTTTATATAGAAAAGAGTTGTTGTGAGAATAACGCACACACAATAAAGTCGTGTTCTCCTTTTCTCTCGTTTCCCCACCAAGTTTGTTACAGACGTCGTTGTCGTCGTCGGTGGTGGCGACGGTCGCGCCGAACAAATGAATGAAACAGTTACACAGCGGCCCAAAACAGCTGACTGTTAGGCGCAGACTCCGTCCGTTTTAAACTCAGAACGTCGACCGTAAAGACAGAGTCTATGTATAAAGAGACCGCGCCGCGTGCGAGAATCGCGCTCAGTTTTGCCTCGCCTCGAAACCGTAACGTTACGGTCGCGTTGCCGCCTCAAAGCAGCAAATGAAAACCGAACCGTCGCTATTGTTATTGTTGGCTCTTGTAGTTTCGCCATAGTTGCAAATAGTGTGACGTTCGTGAAAATAATGTGACCGAAATTAAAAAAAAAAGTTTACGTTATTTTAATTAATTGATGTTCAGTTGGTAATCGAGTGCGTTATTTATTTATTTTTTTATTTTATTTCTTTATTTGGAGCTTTTGAGGATTCTTATTTTAATTACCGTTTACGTTGTGTTAATACAAATTGTGTTTGGAAGATTTTTTTTAATCGAAAAAAGAAGATATTACGTTTTGGTAAGGTCACGGTTTGAAATCGTGGTTACGGTCTTTTCGAGTTAATAAATAATAATCGGTAAACAAAGAGAGAGGGAGAGAATAAAGATAAACAAGGAAAGAGAACGAAAATTAACTTGGTTTCGATTTAATACATCATCAGCCGAATTCGTGCAAATACTAAAAATTAAAAAATAATATTTGTATTTATCGCAACATAACAAAATTTTAATCTCTTTTAATCCTGTTGCAAAAGGTCAGGAATTTATTAATGTTCAAATTTATTTTATGTTCATTACAGTAATTACAAGTAGCTGATAAATTCGATTATAATCATTATCAGCTCGATTTTCGCGAACTTGCAAAATTCGAATTCTTTTTTGTTTCGCGTTAACTGAATTTATGGGATGTTTTATTAATTAGATGTTTTGAAAGCAGAATAATAAAACACTTTTTATCTGCTTATTAGGCGATATCTACATATTTTGAACAAAAAGTTATGGAAATTATTTGATGTTTTGAAAACAAATAAAAATTCCATGTTAATTATAATAAATTCTTGCAAAGATAATCAGAAAAAAATTTGTACGACTTTGATTATCTACTTGATGTGATTGTTATCTACATATTTTGATTGGCCAATACATTTTTTACTAGATAAAAAAAATTAATTTTAGTCTAAACTGTATCTAGTTTAATTCTACTTTATTAGCCCACTCATATTGAACTTATTAATAGTATTATCTTCAAGAAGTTTATTGACTAGTAAGATAGAGTTGAAAGTGGCCAGACGTTGAAGGAATTGATTTGATATAGCTTCTCGGTAGTAAGCGATATCTGGTTTAATTTCTAAGTCTGTGGTGATAAACTATAGGAAAATACTTTCAGAAGCTGGCAGAATTAAGCAAAATATTTCCAAAAGGTTATAAAGCAACAAAATGTTACAAACCATTATGCAATATATTTCCAAATACTGACAGGATTAAGGAAAATACTTCCAGAAGCTGACAGGATGAGACAAAATGTTACCAAACACTAATAGAATTATGCAAAATATTTCCAAATCCTGATAGGATTAAGGAAAATACTTCCAGAAGCTGACAGGGTGAGACAAAATGTTACCAAAAACGAATAGAATTAAACAAAATATTTCCAAAAGGTTATAAAGCAACAAAATGTTACAAGCAGTGTTTCCGGAGATTGACACATATACCAAAATATTTCCTAAAGTTACCAAAAACTAATAGAATTATGCAAAATATTTCCAAATCCTGATAGGATTAAGGAAAATACTTCCAGAGGCTGGCAGAATGAGAGAAAATGTTACCAAAAACGAATAGAATTAAGCAAAATATTTCCAAAAAGTTATAAAGCAACAAAATATTACAAGCAGTGTTGCCGGAGATTGACATATATACCAAAATATTTCCTAAAGTTGGCAGTATAAAGCAAAATGTTACCAAAAACTAATATAATTATGCAAAATATTTCCAAATACTGACAGGATTAAGGAAAATACTTCCAGAGGCTGATAGGATGAAACAAAATGTTACCAAAAACGAATAGAATTAGACAAAATATTTCCAAAAGGTTATAAAAGCAACAAAATGTTACCAAAAACTAATAGAATTATGGAAAATATTTCCAAATCCTGACAGGATTAAGGAAAATACTTCCAGAAACTGGTAGAATGAGACAAAATGGTACCAGAAACGAATAGAATTAAGCAAAATGTTTCCAAAAGGTTATAAAGCAACAAAATGTTACAAGCAGCGTTTCGGGAGATTGACACATATACCAAAACATTTCCAAAAGTTGGCAGTATGAAGCAAAATGTTACCAAAAACTAATAGAATTATGCAAAATATTTCTAAATACTGACAGGATTAAAGAAAATACTTCCAGAGGCCGACAGGATGAGACAAAATGTTACCAAAAACGAATAGAATTAAACAAAATATTTCCAAAAGGTTATAAAGCAACAAAATGTTACAAGCAGTGTTTTCGGGGATTGACACATATACCAAAATATTTCCAAAAGTTGGCAGTATGAAGCAAAATGTCACCAAAAACTAATAGAATCATGCAAAATATTTCCAAATCCTGACAGGATTAAGGAAAATACTTCCAGAAGCTGACAGGATGAAACAAAATGTTACCAAAAACGAATAGAATTAAGCAAAATATTTCCTAAACCTGACAGGATTAATATCATACAAATATTGAAATAAGGTACTGCTTGTTTGGGTTGGTACAAAAATATTCATGTTTCAACTTAGTTCTGAAGAACGTTGCAACATAGTATTCAAATATTTAATAATGCTATTTATAACTTTATGGCGTTGATATATACTTTTAGACTTTTTTTATTTCTAACATCGCGTGGCAATTTTAGTTACAATATCACGTCTATTGCCAAGTTTGCTTTAGATAGAGATCTTGCAACCAAAGTTTACCGCTTTAAGGCCAACTTAGATACTAATTTCTCAAAAACAAATCAGAGCTATGTCTTACATCATTATATCATCTAGTAAATTCTGAATCTCAAACAAATATGATAATGTTTTTAAAAATATTTCAACATAAACTTTCACCTCCATTAATTAGTCATCATCAATGAATCATGTTTTCATGAAATATTACTCAATAAAAAAAATAATTGTTTTATCTTGTTAACCCATTAATTTCCACAAAAACTTAAAGCACAAAAATTCATTTCAACTTAAAAAAAAATAATGTTATCTTATTTTATCACTTTGAGATTGTTATATTTTTTGCAAATATCATCGCCGAAACGTTTAACGTCATCATTCACGTTTTTACTTATAATTCAATAATACATCTCAATCACTGTATCTCCCAATTATCTAGACAGAAAGAAGATAATGATAATTAAACGCGGTGTTTTTTTTTTCACATTTCAAATTAATGCAATCCACGTTACATTTGATTATATTCTTACTTAATTAAAATGTCAATTCGCGCACTCGAGGTTGATGTGTTGTGAAGTTTGTATTCATCTCTGATAAACATAATACAAAACGGGCCTTGAAATTATCCCGACCGGGATGGATGTAGATAGATAGGCGTTTTGATACGAGTCGTAAATCGTATCAATGGACAATAATTTTATCGTTAAAACAAGACAATGAATATGCATTTAGTTTTACTACTTTGAATCGTATTGTTATTAATTAACTTTTTTTTTCTAATTTACTTCATATTGTTATGGCACGCACCTACCACGTGCTGTTTGGGTTAACGCAACCAGGTCCCCTTTGATTTCGAGGAACCTTTGACCCCTATTACTAGATTACAGACTTCATGATTACTAACACCAAAGAATTGAATGAGTTTGTTTGTGTCGTTCCAAAGAAGTACAGTAAAACCTCGATATTACGGATTAATACGGGAAATTATTATTATTATTATTAGTTTTCTTTAATACAAATGCATTACTTAGAAGCCGAGCATTAGAACTAACTCTAGAAAACTAGAAACAATCTGGTTTAGCGGTGCGTCTCTGAATAAATATTGTATAGGACCATAATTTCTCATTTTGAACAACTTTTCTTAATAAAATTTTTCCGTATCATGAACAAAAAGATTACTTTACCTAAACTAAAAATAGTTTGCTTTCAAAATATGAAAATTTCTTTTTTTTTTCTTCACACTAAGCAGGGCTTAATTCCTTACCATTTAAAATAAAATCCAAAATTTTTAAGTCATTATACCTCTTGTAACATCTATCCTGGGACACCCTGTATATTGAAATGATCTTAATAGGAATCAAAAATGCTTTAATTTGATACCAAACATGATATATTTGGGTTAAAAAATAAAAAGTTGTGTTCGAAAGTGTCAAATGTCAAAATTAAATATAACGATTTTTTGATAAATATTGAAATGATCTTGATAAGAATCAAAAATGCTTTCATTTGATACCAAACATGATATATTTGGGTTAAAAAACAAAAAAGTTAGGTTAGAAACTGTCAAATGTCAAAATTAAATATAACGATTTTTTGATAAAAATTGAAATGATCTTAATATGAATCAAAAATTCTTACATTTGATAACAAACATGATATGTTTAGGTTAAAAAATAAAAAAGTTAGGTTAGAAATTGTCAAATGTCAAAATTAAATACAACGATTTTTTGATAAATATTGAAATGATCTTGATAAGAATTATAAATGCTTTCATTTGATACTAAACATGATATATTTGGGTTAAAAAATAAAAAGTTAGGTTAGAAAGTGTCAAATGTCAAAATTAAATATAACGATTTTTTGATAAACATTGAAATGATCTTAATATGAATCAAGAATGCTTTTATTTGATACCAAACATGATATATTTGGGTGAAAAAATAAAAAGTTGGGTTACAAAGTGTCAAATGTCAAAATTAAGTATAACGATTTTTTGATAAATATTGAAATGATCTTAATAGAATTCAAAAATGCTTTAATTTGATACCAAACATGATATATTTGGGTTAAAAAATAAAAAGTTAGGTTAGAAAGTGTCAAATGTCAAACTTAAATATAACGATTTTTTGATAAATATTGAAATGGTCTTAATAAGAATCAAAAATGCTTTAATTTGATACCAAAAATGATATATTTGGGTTAAAAAATAAAAAGTTTGGTTCGAAAGTGTCAAATGTCAAAATTAAATATAACGATTTTTTGTTAAAAATTGAAATGACATTAATATGAATCAAAAATGCTTTCATTTGATACCAAACATGATATGTTTAGGTTAAAAAATAAAAAAGTTAGGTTAGAAATTGTCAAATGTCAAAATTAAATACAACGATTTTTAGAGAAACATTGAAATAATCTTATTAAGAATCAAAAATGCTTTAATTTGATACCAAACATGATATATTTGGGTTAAAAAATAAAATAGTTAGGTTAGAAACTGTCAAATGTCAAATAATCGCCTTTTTTTTTTTTACTAAAAATTAAGATATCTCGATAACTGTTGGAGATAAATAGGTCGAGTTTGGGTTCATTTTAAAGGATTTTTAATTTCCTCTCCACTAATGTTAAAAAAAGAACAGTTTTATAACTAAAAAAAAATTTTTAGCGCTGATAACAATCAAGTTTATCGAGGTTTTATTGTAGTAAACTTGATAACTAACACTAGAAAATGTAAAATAAGTATAAATAAAGTTTTAAAATAATATTTAAAGAGTGTATATACAAAAATATTTGTATCAGGGGATAATCAACTTGACCTTCTACTACAGCAGACGTTGGATAGGTGTGTTTGGCTTGAATCCAACTGCTGACACACACAAGAAGCTTCAGTCTAAATAGTTTTGTACAGTTTTATCTCATCACATCGCCATTTAACGGCGGTAATAAACTAAACGACACAGTATTAAATTACCACAGAGAATATTGTCGTTTTAGTATCGTCCTAGTTCTGGAATATCTACTCACTAGAAATAAATATAACTAATACCACAAATATTAAATTATCGTAAAATTTGAATTTGGATTATCTCATTACAACATTTATTTGTAACTCGTTAATTAACACCATTTCGGTGCCAAATTTGCATAAAGATAATCAACGATCCGGATAGTATTAACGTTATTTATTGGGGTGGTTTATTGATTGGGCGAATTAATAAATTTTGGGGAATTATTAAAATTATCGTTATTCCTTCAACGGTTCATATCAACGGTAAAGCTTTTTCACTGATTATATATGTAACCGGAAAACTACATCCTTTGCGTTATCCTGATTACGGCTTAACCATATTCAAATCATGTGTACGGTTTTGAAATACACTAAAGATTTTAAAACTAAACTCAAAAAGCTTAACCCACATCTCCACAAGAATAGACACGACGCTAACTTTAGAATATTTCAATAAGAATGGAGCGGAAATTGAAAAATAGATAAACCATGTTCGACGACGTACCTTGTGTTTTATTTTCAAGAACGTAATTTTGGCCATAATAACCTTGATGGAAAAATTTCAGACAACAATAAGCAACAATGAGGAAGGTTGGAATAAATTTCCTTATTATTTCGTGGGTGTTTGTTTAACGAAAATAAAAAAAATTAGTTTGTAATAACAAAATGTGGCGGAAATTCGTTTCGACGAATCCATTCAATACTTATTTGAGTGTGGAAATCGAATTGCATACAAAAAGGCGTTTCTACGGTTCTGGCAATAAATTCTGTCAACATGCCAAGGCCAACAGGGTACAGCACCAACTGCATACCAACTCGGTAAACTACGGTGGTATATTATTTTCTTGTTTCCTCTTAACAAAAATTTTAAATATTCGTTTCGCAAATGTCTACTAATTTAACTTGGATACATTTTAATTTATTACACTCAATTTAATTCATCAATTAATGAATGATTGGAGGAGTTGAAAATCATAACGTGATGATAAACAGAAATTGAAACTTCCCAGAATGAAACCAACGCCGTCTGGGGAACGATGGATTCTTGGAAAATACAAGGTCAGGATCGTTATAGATAAAGAAAAACCGTCGTTGAAGTGACTAACACTATTTAATTCCTGCAAAAAAAATAACATAAAACAAGTCTAGCACAAGGTAAATAAGTCATTTAAATCGATAAATTTTAATTAAAAAAAAAACATTATTTTAATAACTCAACATTATTAGTTAGTTGGAGTAAAACACAGTGAAAGTTGCACAGTTTCATATTCGAAAGTGGCTACTTGCATAACGAATTGAATTTCCCGTTTCAAATTCCTTCCTATTAAAGAATACTTGAATGGCTTAGATGAGAATGTTACGTTTAATCTATAAAAATCGTTTGTGTTAATGATAAAATTAAATCAAAAATAAAATTAATTACGACGTAAATGATATAAATGATAAAATGGCTGAATAAATCATGAAGTTTTAGCGGAAGAAACTTTTAATTATTATGCATTATCATGCAGTGTCTAGAAACGAGACCGGAAATAAAAGAAAGATTTGTAATAGTACTAAAATTAAAGAAAACTTTATTTAGTTTAAACCGTCTCAGTCGCACGGCTAAAATTTTTTAGTTATAAAGCTGTTTTTTTTTAACATTAATGGATAGAAAATTAAATATCCTTTAAAATGATCCCAAACTCGACCTATTTATCTCCTACAGTTATCGAGATATCTTAATTTTTAACAAAAAAAAAAAAATGGCGATTATTTGACATTTGACAGTTTCTAACCTAACATTATTATTTTTTAACCCAAATATATCATGTTTGGTATCAAATTAAAGCATTTTTGAATCTTATCAAGATTCCTTCAAGCCAACTCACTAACTGTGTAAAATAGTCGGCTGTTTAAGATTATAAAGTTTGAACTTCAAGCATTTAATAACAATCTCAAGCATTTTGTTATGAGCAATAATTTATAAAATTCTTCTAAGATTTGTAATAGTTCTAAAATTAAAGAAAACTTTACTTAGTTTAACTACTAGAACCACTGCCTCGGCAGCATGGCTGCCTCAGCGTGTATCTATTAAGACGGATAAAGCCGAATGGTTCTAGTTCTAGTGCTAGTTCTAATGATATGAAACTACAACTAACACTAGACCAAGAACTAGAAACATTCGGGTTTAGCCGTACGTCTCGTTAAACGACTAAACCCGAATGATTCTAGTTCTAGGTTTAGTGTTAGTTCTAGTTGTAACTCAACAATTTTTTAGTTATAAAGCTTTTCTTTTTTTAACATTAATGGATAAAAAATTAAATATCCTTTAAAATGAACCCAAACTCGACCTATTTATCTCCTACAGTTATCGAGATATCTTAATTTTTAACAAAAAAAAAATGGCGATTATTTGACATTTGACAGTTTCTAACCTAACTTTTTTGTTTTTTAACCCAAATATATCATGTTTGGTATCAAATTAAAGCATTTTTGAATTCTATTAAGATCATTTCAATATTTATCAAAAAATCGTTATATTTAATTTTGACATTAGACACTTTCTAACCCCACTTTTTATTTTTTAACCCAAATATATCATGTTTGGTATCAAATTAAAGCATTTTTGATTCTTATTAAGATCATTTCAATATTTATGAAAAAATCGTTGTTTTATTTTGACATTTCACACTTTTTAACCTAACTATTTTATTTTTTAACCCAAATATATCATGTTTGGTATCAAATGAAAGCATTTTTGATTTTTATTAAGATTCCTTAACGCCAATTTAAGGTCATATTTATTGAGGTTAATTTTGTTATAGGCAATAATTTATAAAATTCTTCCTAAATTAATTTGGACAAATTAATGTTTATATAGAATTATAAAACTGCGTAAATGTCATGTTAGGACGTTTATCATATTTTATGAATGTCGAGCCATCCAAAATGTTGTCGGATAAATTAGGGCATAAATAAAAGTTGGACATTAAGTGTCGCTGTGTATATTTTTCATTTTACTTCAACTTCCACAAATTATATTTAAAAAAAAAATATTTAACAACAATTTAGTTCAGTCTAGACAATATTATTTTATTTTCAACAAACAAAACTAAATAGTTATTTTTTTGTAATGTTTACTACGTTACAAATAATAATGGATAATAATTCAACGTCAAATCTACACAAACACAATAATAACAAGAAATGTTTGTTGTTATTGAGTTATTTAATTAAGTTGTTGAACTTGGTATAAATTTGAATCGAATGTACTAGATACACAATATAATAATTTATCTTTCGGTTTATACAACCACGATTATATTATACATATCGGCGCGTTATCGTTAAAATTTATTACAACTAGAGTTGGTGTGTTCACATTGTTATCGGTATTTGTACACGTGATCCCTCTTTATTTGTGGACATAGCTAAATTACATTTTGCGGGATCTGTTTATTTTGTTCTCTCTCTCTCTTTCAATCAATCGGTTTATCTTTTTTGAAATTATTTCGAGGTAAAAAGGTTTTTCATTATTGCAAACTTGTTTAAGGAAAACTTTATCTATTGGTTGAAATTCGCCTTAGAATTGCGCAAGGTTACGGTCAGAATGTTGTAGATAACGGATTATCTTTTCCTGGGGTTTTCCACGGAGTTTCAGTAATGAAATTTTCCTTTTTTAAAACCGTAATAAACAACCTTAAATTTAAACTTTGATTTTTGGAGTGGTGGTTTTTGAATATATTGTTTTTGTATGAACGGCTGAGTCATTGGTTTTTGTTTAAAATTGTGTTGCAACAACGTTATTATTGACGCAAATTAATAACGTCAATTAATTCAAAAACTGCCCAACAAAAATAATGAAGATATTCTATTACCGAGGTTTTTTTTTTAATTAGGTTTTGAAAATTAACGTGCCGTTTTTAAAGGTGCGTATAAACCAGGCGCGATCGCGCGTTTTCCTCACAAAACGGCTCCTAAGCGATCGTCACGCGTCTTCGAGGGGGGCTGCGTGGGCGTAGTTGTGACGAAGCGCCGCAAGATTCCGCCGGCTGCGAAAGGTGACAAGGGCGCCGCCACACTCGGCACGCTCGGCGGTGCTTTGCGCAGGACCGGCATTAAAGTCTCGGGTGTCGCACTGACCCTGAAACAGTGGTGGCGCGATGTGGGGCTTTGCCCCCACGGCCCCGCGCGCCCCTCTTGTCCGCTAGGGGCGCATCACCAGGGGGGTCGAACTAGGAAACCGCGCCATCTCATGGGACAGACGCTCAGCATGTGTAAATGGAAGCAGTGTGCCCGAGATAAGTGTGAGTATTTTATTAAAGTTTGATGTATTTGTAATTTTCAATGCAAGAAAACAGATAATTTCTTGATAAAATAGATTGCGTGCGAACGGAATCACAAAAAAAGTGTGGCGCCAATGCATAGACGGTTGGGAAGACTGAAACGCTGTAATCAGCGCAAGGTTAGAGAAATAAGCCGGCGTTACGCAATAATAACACAGCGATCGTTTACATGAAAGCTAAATTGCTACTTGCACCGTCGCCCGGTACAACAACTCCTTCATATATTCTAAGGTTAAATTCCTTTGCATCTTTTATGTCAGAACAATATATTTTTAAAAATTTTATTATTAACTCTATCAAATTCTTCTCACAACCTAGTTCCACAATATATTAAACATATATTATACAGGGTGCCCATTATGTGTGGAATATAGTATATATCTTGATAGGTATCAACTTTATAGCAAAACATTTTATACAAAAGTTGTTTAATATTTTATTTGCCGTAATAAGACAACATTCAATTGTTTTTATTTCAGAAAACAAATGAGCAACGAATAACACTTGAAGTTTTTTAAATGGCAATGTACCCTTTCGTTAGGCTCATTTGATAGAGATTTCTTTTAAGTTTTTTAATGTTTGGTGCCTGTACATTTATCACAGAACACTGATGACTCTATGTCAAGCACAGAGGGCATACAGGGTGTTTCTGTAAGTCGAGGCATAAAATGATGACGATTCGTGTAAAAATTTTTGAAGAAAATAATCCAAGTTTGATTTTGTACCTTTAAACTGGTTTTTATTTTATATAGGTTAATGGTTTTTACAAACAAGTATCTTAATATTTCTTTTTGTTTTGTTAAAAAAGATCACGTATCAAAGTCGAAATCAGATTATTAGTTACTAATTTACAAAATTAAAGTTTAAAAAGTTGTAAGATGAAATTAAGGACGAAGTGTTACAAATTTAAGAACGTTCTTTTTTTCAAAAGAAATATTAAGAAACTTGGGAAAAATTCAAGAATCATTATGTAGCTTCCTGTATTACATGATAACTAACTTCAGGTTTAAAATGTCAACCTCAATTTTGACATACTTGTAATCTTCATTAAAAATCCTTTAAAATGAGTACAAACACGACATATTTATCTCCAATGTTAATGAAGTTATGGTCAACTTCCGGTTAAGAATGTCAACGTCAATTTTGACATATTTGTAATCGTCGTGGTTATTTATATAAAGATTTAT